AATATTTAAGTCTAATGAGAGATTTTAAAAATTTTTGTTGAGATTTAAATTAAATACATCATCGTGTGGGATAATAAATTCTCGTAGATGATGTGATTATCACTTTGTATATAGTAAATAAATAAATAAATTTTTGTAAATAAAATATAATATGGTTTTTATAATTTTAATTAATTTAATTAATAAATTTAGATTATAATTATATTTACCAATTATGTCTTTTGGTCATATGAGATTTTTAAATGTCCATATATCTCTAGAATAATTATCTTATCGTGAAAGTCAATAAGACTTCGCAGGTATAGCAATTAAGATTTCTATATTTAAAATACAAATTGTATAATTACGTATTAAAATATATAATATTTAATCCTTTATATTGTGAGGATTTTGAATTTTCGCAAATATTTAGGATAATCTTATTACTATAAAAGTTAATAAGGCTTTGCAGGTATGATGATTAAGAGTCTTTTTTTAAAAAAGTATATATGTATGAATGCACTAAAAAAATAATGATATTATTAATATTTAAAAATTTAAGTAAATAAACTAAGTTGTTAAACTCTTTTATCATGTGAGAGTTTGGATTCTCTACAGATATAAAGAATAATTGTATTACTGTATGAGCCAATAAGACTCTACAGGTATTGCGATTAAATTCCTATCATAAATATAAAAATAAAAAAATAAAAATAATTTTTAAACCCTTTTCTTTTCTTTATTCCAGAAATTTAAAAAATTGAGAAAATAGTTGAAATTAAATTATTTTTTGCAATTTAAAACATACATATCAAAATTGCAGAAATTATTTTATTTGTAAAATGGTGAATTATTTCTAATTAATTTCTCTTCAAACAAATATTTTTATCAACAAATTTTTAAACTCGAATTACGTGGACTTTGATCCTTATCACAAGGTACGTAGGCCTCAGAGTCAGATTTTGAGTCAAGTCCTTCCTGTAAATAAATAAACATTTCTCACTTAATTCATATTATTTTTATATCAAACATATGAATATAAAAAGGATAATTAAAATAATTTTAAAATCGTATTTATATAGCACAACAAATTTCAGGTAACCGTTCTTACGAACGGGTGTTGTGGGGTGCCTAACACCTTTCTCACACTCAATCAACTTCCGAACCTATTTTCTATTTTCGCAAACCACCCTTATCCACTTTTAAACTGTTTTTCGAGATTTTCTTCAAAATTTTGGTGGCAACTTTCATTTTTTTGATCTTCCTTTCGAAGGTCAGAACCTCAGCTCTTGCACTGTCCGCTCGCATTTTCGGGTGTGATAGTTGGTGACTCCATTAGGGAACCTCCGCTCTCGTACCGTTCGTGTCGCATTTTTGAGTACGACACTTATTATTTAGTTCCACCGGCATAATTTGTTAGGGGATAAATTCTAATAAATTTTAATTTTTTTAGACTTTGAAAGATCACGTGGCACTTGCTAAATACCTCTAATAATATTTGTTGGTGGATAAATTTTCTTCTTCAATTAATTATGCAGGGTAGGACTAGTAGCAAATTTCTCCCTTTTTAATTCGATCTAAAAATTTTTCTCCTATTAATCACGAGAAGAGCACAAGCATGGCGAGAAACTGGCATATTCATCCCTGATACAACACATTTTAAATTAAAAATAAAATACTTTGATGACCCTTTTTTTTATCTTAATTGCACAAACCTTCTTTCTATTTTAAAAATATACAATTTAGTCAAGTCTATTAACTTCCTAAGAAACATTCTAAAAATATTTTAAAAACTTATTTGCAAATTAAAATTTATATTAAAAAAATTATTTATTAATGTACCCCTCAATCTAATAAATCATAGATTATACTATTTTGACAGTTACATAATTTCAGTATAAAAAACATATTTATGAATTTTAAATTTTAAATTTAAATTATTTATATAATATCTCAAACTTATATAATTTTTATGTTATGTGATGAACAAAAATATGTGTTTGAAATTTTAGCTATTTAAAAAACATAAATAAGTTTCTGTAAATTTGTTAAAAATTAAAATTATAAAATGTTATAATACAATAAAAATTAATGCATTTTATAACATAATAAATATTCAAAAATGTATTTATTATATTTTTTTAGTTGTATGGAAAAAATATTTTTTGGCAAATATAGATTTTTAGATTATTCTTATGTTAAAAGGGGTATTTTAGTCAAATTAAAAGTTTTAAAGTTAAAACCAATAATTAACTAACGGTTGAATCGATATAAAGAAATCTTAAATATACAATGGAGGTTTTTATAACATATATTTTAATTTTATGGGATGTTTACATGAGTTTTCAAAATAGAGAGTGGGTATGTGTAATTGAGGCAGAATAGAAGAATGATCAGTATATTTTACTCTTAAATAAATTAAATTATTGTTTATATTTTTAAGGAAAAAGCACTATTTTTGGTTCTTGCACTTTATTTAGATTTTGATATAGATTCTTGCATTCTTTTTCAATATTTCAGGTCCTTATACTTGTTTTTCATCTACAATATCAGTCCCTACATTTTTAAAGAGATGTTGATGTGGCATAAATAATATTAATAATGTTGACATATCAATTAGTATCATTAATTTTGTACTTACGTGTCAAAGTGGTGCTGATATGGAGTTTTTAATTAAAAAGAAAAGGCTATACATTAAATTTGTACATTTTGCTTATCATTTAAAGAGTTTAGATTAGCTTTTTTATTTCATCTATTGTAGGGCCTTTTCTTTTATTTATTAAAAATTTTATGTCAGTATTAGTTTGATATGTAAGCATAAAATTAACGATGTTATTTGACATGTTTGCATTATTAACACTATTTGTATCACATTAATGTTTCTTTAAAAATATAGGAACTAATGTTGCAGGTGGAGAAAAGTGCAAAGACTTGGAGCATCGAAAACAAAATACAGCAACTTATACCAAAATTTAAGTAAAGTATAGAGATTTAGAATAACGTTTTTCCTATTTTTAACATGCATATAAACAATAAAATTTTAAACAAGATAAGTTTTTGTTTAGGTTTAATTTAAATAAATAACAAATTCTAAGCACACTAAAATAAATTATTTTTTAAATTTTAAATTTCTATTTTTCTTTATGGGGAATAGATCTAGTTAATATTAGAGGACACTTTATTACAAAAAAATAAAATAAAATAAAATAAAGGACACTCTGTGAATATATGTAAATTAGATTATTCTTTAAATCTTGATGTTAACGAGTCTTAACAGGAACCTAATTTGTCTTTGGTAAGTAGCTGAAGTCATCTCCCATCCACATGGGATAAGTAGAATAAGAAAAGAAAGATATCTAACTACTCAGTTTGCTTGATTTTCATAGTTCAATCTTGCAAACAATTAGTTGAAGAAAAGAATTTTTCTTCTTCTTCCAATTTCTACAACCCTCCCCTTCGCTCATCTATTTTATGGATCATTGCATGTAATGCCAATTACCAACTTCCATCTGAAGATTTGCGCATTACTTGTCATTGGAGATTCCATTTTCAGATTCCAATAATATAATAGCCAAGTTGCGCAGTCAATTTACAATTTTGATATCTCATATCCTCTCCTCTCTTCTCTTCAAATTCTCCCTCGCTTTGCTTTTTCTGCCCCCCTTCCATGTGTTTCCCTTCCCCATACCCTCTACTTGAGATATTCTTGTCTAGAATTTTATTTTCTTCATGGCTTTTTACACTTTTCTTTTTACCATTTATCTAATATAATTTCTCTTCAACTCAAAAAAATAAAAATAAAGGACGCTTTGTTTTTGGTTTTTTTCTTTTGCCAACAAGTACACTTTGTTCCATCCACTCCAAAAAAGTGAAAACCCTTTATTTATTAAGTTCTATTACGAGTCACTTTAAATTCTAAGAATACCAAGACTCACTTTTACCCTCCAAATAACAAGACTCGTTATAAAATAATGATAACTTAGTTTGATTTTTTAAGTTTTTATATAAAAACAGAAATTGCATTTGCATCAAAACTAGTTAAAAAAAAAAAAAGCAACGAAGGAAATATCTTCCATTCATAACTACAAAAAGTGAAGAGTCATGAGCCCAAGGACAAAGACGTTCGAAAAGGACAAAATAACTGAACTAAAATTAACCAATGCCTTCCCCATAACGATTAAGAGCAGGCTGTTAGAAAATCATCAAATCATTTGAGAAGACTCTGAATTTTTTACCAAAATAATCAAAAGAGTACAGTCAATAATTCCAACGTATCGAATTTATTTAAATCAAATTTAAAATATTTTTTTTAAAAAAGTTTATATAATTAAATTTGGTTCTAATTTTTTTCGATCAAATTTAGATTAACTCATCGAATTTGATCAAATTTACCAATTTTATGTATATAGAGATAAAAATTTCAAAAGTTGGATTTAAAGTATTCTAATATTTTAAAAAAATTTATATAATTAAACTTAACTTTAATTATTTTTAAATGAATTTAAAATACTTTGTTGAACTTAGTCTGAATTACTGACTTTACAAGAGAGGGAGTGTAGGTTGAGAACCCAACCATTTAGATCCACACCCTTGAAAGATGAGGCCGCCAGCCAATCATATAGCACTTCTCTAACATTACATATTATATAATTATGACCAATAAAAATCATTCTTGATAAAGTGTAAATATGGTTTTCAGTTTATATTTGGTAAAAATATATTTAAAAAATTTAACTATTTGTTAAATTTGATAAAAATACAACTGAAATATGATTTGAACATGTTCTTGATAGTTATCCAAACGGCCCGAAATCTCACTCAAATAAAAAGCCGGGCAGATGAAACATGACCAACATTAAATATTAAATAATGTACTGATTAAATTAATCACAAATACTGCGCTTAATATTCAAAATTTCTGCATATTTTAACCAATCACCGAACAATTATTTTTTTTTTAAAAAGGCCTTTTCACTTAACCTATATTAAAAAATAACTCCTTTGCTTGACTTTTTAATTTTCTTTTGCCAATTCCACCGCTCGCCTTGAAAATTTGAGGAAAACACTGAGCGCCAAGAGCCGCCAATCTGATCCGAATCGCTGGCGCAGGAGATTTTCATTTTCCGTTGAATTTTATCAAAAGTAATAACGGCGAATTGATTCCGAGGTTGTCACTCTTCGTCGTTGAGATCCAGAGAATTGAATTTCCCTATCTCGGAGTATCCGATTGAAAGCGAAAATAAATCCCAATAGCAAGCAAAGCGAACGAATATGGCGTGCATTGTAAATTTCCCAGCACTCGCAAATCCAAATCAGCCTCGCGCTTCTTCTACTCTATCGCCCGTTTGCTGCTCTGCGAACTTATCCAAGTCTCTTTCTTCTCACCTTTCTTTCTTTTGTTCATTGGATTATGGATTTAGCACCGAGGCCTCAATCAGATTTCACTTGAATAAGTCTTCGACGGCGAAGGCTGTCAATTCTGCGGTATGTGAAGGTTCTCATCTAAGTTCGCTTTTCCAATGAATGTTGGTTTTCTTCCTATCCCCTCTGGGGAATGTTAGATTAGTTAGTGCTGGGTTCATGTGAAATGTTCTAATTGCTCAAAACATTTTGAAATATGAGGTTTCAATCTTAAGCTCTGCATAATGAGAAATCCACGGTCCTTTCAAGGTAATTTGCTCTTTCGAAGCATCATGTTAATGCCATTATTATCTTCATAGGCTTGATATGATGACTTGAGTTAACGTTAGGTATTGGATGGGGAACAAAGAAGAAAGGATTAGTAATACTTTCCATATACGACTGTCTTTTCTGTGTCTGACAATCTCTGTAAACTATGCAGATTGTTGCATCTATAAAGCCGGAACCGCCGAAGATTATGATTTCCGGAGCTCCTGCATCTGGTAAGGGAACACAATGCGAGCTTATCACCAAGAAGGTATGTAATTTACTTTTGCCAGTAGTACTCCCATTCGAACAAGGCAGAATAGTCTTATTGATTTTCTTACTTGTATATATGTGCAACTCTAAATCATTTCATCTCTCTACAGCCTTTTGTATTGCGGTGTAGGCTACCGTGGAGTTTTCATTCTATATTTCAGTAAAGACATCCGTTAGTTTGCCTTAATTATTTGGAAAACGTGATCCAATGCAAAGTCTGCACTTTTATGCTGAGGAAAAACTAGGATAATTTGTGTTCATTGCTTATTCATATTAGTCAATTTAGTTTCCTCGCTACCATTGTTTTTGTTCATATTCCCTACGAAACATGACTGTTGATTGGACAAACATTTTGATAACTTTTATGCCATCATTTAGATCAGAAACTTTTAAATAAGTAGAGTATTTGATTGTTTATCCTATCAACTTTTTATGTTCTCGATTATCACAGAAGATAAAATAACTAGTTGAAAATAAAAAGAGAAGAAAATGAATGGAATACTTAGCAGTCCCACTAAAGTTTCTTCTGTTTAAACCATATACTCTAGAAGATGGACTGGCGGTCAGTTTTTTGGGCCTTTTTGAAGACCCTTCATTAGTATTTTGAATTCACTTAATGAACTAGAGTTCACAAATTCCTTTTGTTGCTTGATTTTCATTTTTATACTGCGCAGAGACAATAGTTTTCAAGTCAATAACTTGGTTGATGGAAGGAAAAAGGGTTGTGATTAAGAGATCACATTAACCTTAATTTGCTTTGGCCAATGCATCCTTCTGCTCTTTCTTTTTTCTTCTAGATGATAAGAACGATATGCCTACACTGCAACTGCAAAGAAATAGTTTGATTTGATTGTATGATGTTTCAAGGAATCCTCCACACCAATTTATATGGGTTTGGGTTTGATCTTGGAATTCCACTTTTTTATGCTGAATAAATTATCATAGTTCAAAAAACTAAAAATCTTTAGTTGACTATCCTGGGTATGCCTTTGCACGGTTGCCCCTATCTTATGTTTCCAGTTTCCCTGTGCTTGATTGTGTGCCTCTGTTTTTAAGATTTTAAAAAAAGTTACTGACTATGAGTTAAGTCTCTTATTTCTGGTTTTCCTTGGAAAAGCCAGATTGAATCAAGTGCTCATCATATATGCAGTATGGTTTGGTGCATATTGCTGCTGGAGATTTACTTAGGGCAGAAATTGCAACAGGAAGTGAAAATGGAAAGCGAGCAAAAGAATATATGGAGAAAGGACGATTGGTCCCAGATGAAATAGTTGTCATGGTAGGGAGAAAAAGATTAAATTCAAATAGTGCTTTTCATATCTGTGATATGTTGATGTTTATGCTGTAGATGGTCAAGGATCGTCTTTTGAAGCCAGATTCTAAAGAGAATGGCTGGCTTTTGGATGGATATCCCAGGAGCTTATCACAAGCAACTGCACTCAAGAAATTTGGGTTTGAACCAGATCTTTTTATTCTTCTAGAGGTAAGGATTTGTTGTTTCAAGGCTTGATATCATTAATCCTAAAATTTATCACATTCTATATAAACTAACAATAGTACTTCTCATCTCTGAGTCAATAATTATTTTTTCCTCGAGTAAATTGTTTATCCAGACCAGCGATGATACTATAAGAAACCCTCGAGGAGTCAAACTGATGTTATCAATTTTGTGATCATGGTACTTCTTTCATCCCCAAATGAAGTCATGCATCCTTTCCGGCATGAGGCAGCTAATGCCAAAGAGAAAACCGAGAACCACAATGTGAACTGACAAAGTGACAGTGAAGAGAAGTTTGCTATCTATTTAAATATGATTCACTTTCACACAAGACACTTAACATTGAGTGACCCCCACAATTTAGAAAAGAAAGTAATTAAGAAATAGAAAGCAAGACCAATATAATAGTTGGTTCTAGGAACATTGACATGCAAATAGTTTATGCTATGAACAAAAAGTGACATGGGTTTGACTTCGCTGGAGAGGAAGCAACTTGGGATCATAAATCTAACAAAGAAATTTCAAATGCAAATGCTTGAACCTTTGGTCTCTAGCCACACCCCACCACTCCTAGCTCAAGTGGCCAAATGCAAATGCTTTTGTTACAACCTTTTACTTTAATTTTTAGGTTTCTGAAGATGTTCTTGTGGAGAGAGTAGTTGGACGAAGATTGGATCCTGTTACTGGAAAGATATATCATTTGAAGTATTCCCCCCCAGAGAATGAGGAAATTGCAGCAAGGCTTACCCAACGTTTTGATGATACTGAAGAGAAGGCATGAATATGTTACCATAAATTTTCTCATGCTTTGTGTCCATCATGATTCTAAGTGTTCTGTTACAAAATGCTTTTTTTGTTTAATGACATTTAGAGTTTCCCAGTTTTTTGCAGTTAGCTTGGAGTTGAGTGAACAGTCAATTACGCCCTACTATAAGTTTTCATTTACTTTCTTGTTTGGTTTGACTTAGGTTAAGTTGCGATTGCACACCCATCATCAAAATGTAGAGGCTGTCCTTTCAATGTATGAAAATATAACCGTTAAGGTACGTTACAAAATGCCCCCATCCCCCACCCACAAAAAAAAAAAAAAAGACCCCGTACATGCATGGACATACATACATGCAGGTGCAATGACAGAATAGTTAACAGCGTGTATGTCCAGCTGCACATATGCTAATGTTTTTTCTCCTGTGAGATTAAGTATATTGTCCTGAGGGTTGCCCAATACTATAGCTACTGATTGTTTAAATAGACTTCAATTTTTAGGTCGTGTTGTCACAATATTTGGGTATGGGTATCTCTGTGACACGGTTTTATTATGGATGATGTGGAAATGATGGGATTCTACAATTTTTCCTATTTCTGTGCCTATTATGTATGATTTGCTCTCTTCCCTCTTTGCTTTTTGTCCCTTACTTTTCTAGGTAAACACTACTGGAAATGTTGGGCTAAGATCCCAAATGGTACTCAGTCCTTCTGCAGCCATGTTTTTAGTGGCTTGCTATCCTCATTGAAAACTGGATGATTTAATCTGGTCGTGGATGCCTGAATATTTTTGTTGATTGTAACACTTTGTTTCTTAAAATGTAAAATATGTAGTTGAGTTGGCTCTGCTGTTTATACGATATTTTGGTGATGAATCACGTCGCATTTGCTCGTGGTCTTTCAGATTAATGGAAATGTCTCCAAGGAGGAAGTATTTGCTCAAATTGATAGTGCAATTACAAATTTGTTAGACCCGAGGAAGGCTGCTTCAGGATCTTTGGCTGCATAGGAAAAAGTGGACTATTTGCCTGGAATGTCAACTTTTAATCAACATTTGCAAGGGGGATAAAGGAGCCTTCACGAAAAATAAAATGTATTTTCTGGACACTGAGTTGTTGAAAGATGGACGTGCTCAAAGATGTTTCACTTTATTCTGGCAAAGCTTTGTATGGTATTGTAATAGGATAGGCATACTTATCTCTTCAAAATAGCGTTTTGACATCGATCAACTTGTGGATGAAGGATTTTGTGAAATGTTATTTGTTCATATAATTCATTTTGATGTAGTAAGATAGTGGATACGAAGATTATCTACAGAACGCAATAATATGCAACCTGTGAGCTGTTATTTACTTGATTCTAGGTTGTTCTAAGCAATAATATCTTCGTCTTCTTCCCAGTATTTTGAGAGATAAAACTGTGATGTTGATAAAGGATACTTTTTGTTCTTAGAGTGGATGATGGCCACACACAATTGAGTAATTGCGCCAACATCTTATCCTGCTCATCTTTTAGAAGTTGCACAGCTCTTGTTTGCCTTTGGGAGGCAGTGGCTTTCACGATGATCAGCAAATTTGACTAGAAAGGAGGAAAGTGGTTGGCTCTCCCACCAGATATTTGATAAGGTAAAGTCAAAAGAATGTCCCATGCCTTATCCATCAGATTCAGATCAAACCCCACCATGGCATGTCCCCTTGACTTTTCTTCTCTATGCAGGTTGGTGCTCTAATTAAAATTCCATTACATGCCATCCTCTATTCTAAATTTGATAACTTACCCAATTTCAATGGGATCAGACACTTGTTGGAATGAGTTGGCAATCTACATTAATGGAACGAGAGATGCCGGAGATGAATTGCTAATTTAACCATATTTTTTATCTTAAATATTAAAAATAAAAAATTTAACATCTGAAAAATTACTAAAAATATCAATATTGTAAATAAAATCAAAATCATAAGTTGTAACTAATAGTCCACTAAATATTCGCTGTGGTCCTTGATTTGGGTGCACTTTTTTCTTTTCTTTCTTTCTTTCTTTTTTTTTTTTCTTTTTCTTGCAGTGCAGTCAATGCTAGTCAGTCAGTTCAATATTCTACCATATCAAAGCTATTCACATCTTTATTCTATACTTGTTCACTTTTTATTATAAGAAGTCATGAACAGAACAAAACTTATTTATATTTAATATTATTGATAAATTATAGATTACTCCATAAGAAAATTAAAAGGCAATCAGGCATCATGGTGATTTCATCAATACTTTTTTTTTTAAATTCTATATTATTTTTATTCAACCACACACAAATTTGGAACAGACTATTTCTTTAAACATAAATTACCTTATTTTATCAAAACCCATTCTTATTTCCATTCATTTACGCATTCAGTCTATCATTTTTTGTTTCCATAAAAAGGATTCCTTCAAGCAAACAGCAATGGACACCTACAAATTTTCACAATGTTTATTTTAAAATTTTAACCCTTCGGAGAACAAGGGAGTCTTTTTTTTTTTTTTTTTTTAATAAGCAGAACATAGGGTTCAATCCTTACGTAAAATCAACAAGGTCACTTACGTAAAATAAACCACTGAGATCTCATACAAAATCTTCAGACTGTACATAATCGGCACTTTCATGGCCGCTATCAATCTTGGACTTTCCATCCTGAAAAGCACCTATCAAAAAGATTAAAATAAATTCACGCATGAATGTGAGATTTATTAAAGTTCTCATTCTCCCTTCAGATCTTTTCCTTTTTCAGAAGAGAAAAAGATTGAAATCAGACGCACCATACTGAATCCGATTCAGATCAGCATAACCGATTGCTATAAAAGCAGCACTCCGCTTTGCTGACTCCGGGGCGCAAATTGCAGCCAAACCAGTAGTTCCTCGCCACATTCATCCTCATCCTATGGATATGGTATAAGCAAAAGCATCAGATCCTTGAAAACGAAAGCATCATGTGCCCCCCACTCACAAGCAACACTTTAAATTATACTCCCTCCCGTCCAATTTACAAAATATTTTTTAAAAGTAATTTATACTTTAAAATATATAATATCTTATAATAATTAAATTATTTTTTTAATTTTATCTCTTGTTAATTAGCATGAAAATATTTAATATAGTTATATTATTATTTAAAATTAAAAATAAAAATAAAAATACATTTTATTTTTTTATGATATTAAAAAAATTATGAAATAGCTGAGAGTGTTCAATAATATAGATGAAGGAAATATATTTTTATTTGGATAATAAGTACTCCTTCAATTTAAAAATATAAGATATTTTTAACAGAATTTTACTTTCAATAAAATAATTATTTACTTTTAAACTAAATATATTTTTTGATATCTATTCTTATATAAAGTATGAAACACCCTACCACAAATACAAAATTATTATAAATAGAGACATTTTTTTAAAAAAAATATAATAATTATATTTTAAAATATTTAAAAATATATTTTTAAACATTTAATTCTTTAAATAATAAACAGGTCCATTTTTGTCATGTTTCCATATTTGTAACTGATCATGCCCTGTGACTGTATCGCAGCGTCGGTAGTGGTGATTCATTACCTCACATGCATTCATTACACTCGTCGAACATTCATTCGCTCCGTCACGAAATTCCAGCCAGACCGGTATCCCCGGCTTCAATTTATAGAGTTCATAGAGGCGCTTCCAATCAACTTCTCTTGGAGTAGGAACTACCGACCATGGCGACAATATCTCTGCTTCTCATCTTTCTCCTGCACGCTGCGACGGTGATTTCTGCGGATCTCCGACCTGGCTTTTACCACAGCACGTGCCCTGACGCTGAATCGATTGTCCGAGGCGTCATGAGGAAAGCACTAATCAGGGAGCCACGAAGTGTGGCCTCGGTCATGCGATTCCAGTTTCACGATTGCTTCGTCAACGTGAGTCGCTCACTAGTACTCTTTCACCGTCCAAAGTAAATTCAATTCAAATTTTACAGTCTCACTTCTGTCCTATCTAAAATTTCGACCCGTTGCTTGTAAGCTGCATTTGATTCCCTTGAGAAATCTTAAATACGACGAGCCGGAAATCTTGAAACAGTATGAAAATAAGAATTGGTTGAATCTGATGAAAACCTTGATTCGTGAAGGGATGTGACGGTTCGATGCTGCTAGATGACACCCCGACGATGCTTGGAGAGAAATTGGCACTGTCGAACATAAATTCGCTGAGATCCTATGAAGTGATTGACGAAGCAAAGGAAGAACTGGAAAAGGCATGCCCCGGAGTCGTTTCTTGCGCAGATATCGTAATAATGGCTGCCAGAGACGCCGTCGCACTGGTACTTACTAGCTTCACCTTCCTTCCTAAACTTTTTTTTTTTTGGGCCCCTGAAATCTTCCTTCCTAAAGTAAACACAGATCTGTTAACTGTAATTAATCATCAATTGTCTTTAAAATTTTTATTTTGATTTTTCGATGCCCTGTATAATAATGGGTCAAGGAGACATCTATTTGTGATCTGGGACTGAACTAACTAGAAATAAATTTTGAATGATATATGTTTAAAATAAAATAATAGTAATGAATATTTAATTTCAAAAAACAGTATATAGTAAACAAATGGTAATATCCATCCATACTCCACCATCTTAAAATGAAATAACTTAAAATCTATTAAAATTTGAAGGCGAAACAAAGTCTATTAAATGTTTTTGGTTTCCCATGAGATCCTGAATTGCACATAACTTTTTATAAGGTTTCAAAGGTTAAAATCAACTCCCGTAAATTATTTGTATGAGTAACCCCCATCTTTACTGAGTCCGTCTGCATTCGCACGGATCGCAATGAGTGAATCTATGGATATTTATGTAATTTTGCCTATAGAAGGACAAAAATGCCATTCTCCATCAAACGTATTTGCTTTGGCGTTTCTCAATGACTTGTTCCCCTCCGCAACTAACCCAAATTTTAATTAATTTCTCGTTTCAAAATCATTAGTTAAATAATTTCATTTTATCACGAGTCAGTCAATAACAAATTAATTAGAGTATTTAAACATGTGTTGCAGGCAGGAGGACCTGATTGGAAAGTAAGACTGGGACGACTAGACAGCTTAACAGCAAGCCAAGAAGACTCAAACAACATAATGCCCAGTCCAAGAGCCAATGCAAGTGCCCTCGTCGATCTCTTCAGGAAGTTCAACCTAAGCATCAGAGACCTCGTAGCCCTCTCAGGTTCTCACTCCATAGGCCAAGCTCGTTGCTTCTCCATCATGTTCAGGCTCTACAACCAGTCTGGTTCTGGAAAACCTGACCCTGCCATTGAACCAGGCTTCAGAGAGAAGCTAGACAAGCTATGCCCTCTCAACGTGGACCAGAATGTCACTGGCGATCTTGATGCCACTCCATGTGTGTTTGACAATCAATACTTCAAGGACTTGGTTGCCGGTAGAGGCTTTTTGAACTCGGATCAAACACTCTTCACTTTCCCTAAGACTAGAGGGTACGTGGAACTCTATAGTAGGGATCAAAGTCAATTCTTTAAAGATTTTGTCAACGGGATGCTAAAAATGGGCGACTTACAATCCGGTCATTGCGGTGAGGTTCGGAAGAATTGTCGAGTGGTTAACGGTCATTCTGATCATTTGTTGTTAGAATGACATCCGCATGATCATATAGATATTGTCGAGGTCGTGTTGCTGTGAAATTATAATATATGCAATTTGCAATATTAGTGGGCCTTGGGATGATAAATAGTGTATGTATCTAGGAGGCTATCTTAAATTTTTCTTTAACATACAGATCTGCAGGAAACTAAAAAAGAGATAAAAGGTATTCAAGACCCACTGTTAGATTACTAGGATACTTGTAAGGTAAAACAAATTGTTACAGCAAAGTAATTAACATGAACATTTGGATCTTTGAAATGGATGTAAATATATTATTCAAAACAAGAGTGTACAAGGAGAGCTTAAAAGCCTAGGAAAAAACAAAGAGAAGGAAATTACATCAGAGAGTTAATCTTAGAGAAAGCTTTTAAAGTATGCTTAGTAACTGTCCAAACGTATGAGAGAATAGCATTCACAGCGAAAGATTCGTCATTAAAGATTCTACAATTCTTAACTTGCCACAGCTTCCCACACAAAATACTAATCCCAATCTTTCAGGAGGTGTTGAGGCGAGTTGTTTGAAGATAATGCGTAATTCAAGAAATAAAGTCACTCCTATAAAAATCAAAATCGTAGTTAGTTGTGCACTTATTAATTAAATTTATTCCAAGTTAATATATAGAGTTAGTTGCACACAAGAATCATGATAAGATGATCCTGATAAATTTAAACTTAATAAAGGAAAAAAAAATTATTCAATTCTCTTGTAAGTTGACTCGTTCAATATAAAAATGTCATCAAGCAATTCCATTGTTTTTTTTTTTTTTGGTGAGAGAAGAGAAAAGTGTCTAAATTTTATTAATGTCCACTTACTTAAGGTGGATGAATACCATTAAAAGAAAAAAGAAAAGGCCACAAGCTAGGATAGGGCATGTTTGGTTCAATGCCATTGCACCTGTGTAACGCAATCTTAATATCATAGATCTATGATTCTAGACGCCGACACTTGAGACCTGCAACAAATAGCTTTGGAACATGAGATAAACTTTATCTTTAAAAAGAAAGGAAGATGAGATAAAACAAAAATTTAATTGATCAAATCAAACTGAACCATCATCTGACGGCACCGAGAACAAGGTTCAGTGTACTTTAGACTGTAAAAACTATTTGCATTAGTTTTTTTTTTTATTGGGCTTTGACAAAGCTAAGACGTTTGTAGAGGCCTAATTCCTTCATTTGAGCTCGAGATTTATTTATTTATTTCCTGCCAACCAGCTTGTGACTTGCAAGTGCGGAGGCCTACGAGACATGTTTGCGGAAGCCCAAGAATTTGATTGCCAAAAACGTGGTCAAACTGTTTATGTAAAATAAATTTTTTTTGAATAAAAGGCTATAAAAAAACCGTGTAAATAAATATATTATAAAAAATATTTTGACACATCTTATCAACACAAGGTTTAAAATGTACGAGTGATTAAGATCAAAGATCATAAAACTCCATTCTAATTTTCTTAGGCAAAAGTTACACATTTATAATTAAATTTAGAATTTCAAATTTTGGATAAATAAAATAAGGTTGGGCAAATTAAATAAATTTGAAAACCATAAAAGAACATGAGTTACAGTGGCTATAATTTTAAATAACTATAAATAAAAAAAATTTAAAATATAAAATAATTATAATAACAAATGAATTTAGATTTAAACCAAATTTAAATCTATAATCTTTTTGTATTTAAATGGAGAATTTAGCCCAAATCCAAATTTAAATTTTTGTTAATCCAAATGCAACATTAAATAATGTGTATAACTAAATAATCAACTCCATTATCAAAGTAGTTAATTGAATTTTTTTGTCAAAGTTACCTTCATTAAAAAAATTGAAAAATGACCTTTTTATATTGTTATATATTAATTAGGTAATTTTTAAAACTGCAGAATGTTCCTAAGGTTAATATATTATTTGGATATGTTTTTAAAATATATAATTTAAAATTTTATCACAAAACACATATTTCTTCCGTTTAAAAATATAAGATATTTTTTGAGAAGTTAAATATTCAAAAATGTAAGGCACTTTTAATCTTTTAAGGTGTAATCATTATTTTTTAAAAAAAAGTGCTTCTATTAATAATAATTTTATATTTATTGTAGGGTATTTAATAGGAATATTATAAAAAGATAGGGTTAGTTTAAAAGTAAATAACTATTTTATTGAGGATGAGATTTAGTTAAAAATGTCTTATATTTTTTAATGGAGGGAATATCATATTAGAATTCTGTGGATTAAAATTTATGCCACATTTTGTATGCTAAATATAATTCCTATACATATATCTTACTCTCTCCGTATTCTTTTCTTTTCTTTTTTTTTTTTTGCCCAAAGACTTCCTCTATTTTTAAATTTATAAAAAATAATCAATTCACATAATTTAAAAAAAATTAATTAAATATAATAATTAAATTTGAAATTAAAAATTTGAACTGAATTATTTCTATAATTGATAAAATAAATTTATCTAATGAAAATAAACATTAACTAAGATAATTTAAAAAATTTGATAAATATTTTTTAAAATTTATAATTTACTTATAAATGAAAACAAAGAACCATATGATAATTTTTCTCATATTAGAAAATGAGGTACTCCCTTTAATTTTATTTATAGAGAAGGGAGAGGATTTTTTTTAATTTATAAATCACTTTATTAAATTTTCATAATAAATTCTCTCATTTCCCTTTGATTAAATGTTGAAAGGAGAGTATATGTTGTTAAAGTATATATACCCCTTCTGTTTTTATATACTTCCTCTATTTAAAAATATAAGATATTTTTAATCGAATCTCACCATCAATAGAGTAGTTATTTACTTTTAAATTAACTTTATCTTTTTATATTTACCCCTATTAAACACCCTATAATAAATATAAAATCATTACTAATAGGGACACTTTTAAAAAAAAGGCAATGACCACACTTCGAAAGATTAAAAATGCCTTATATTTTTTAATATCAAATTTTTTAAAAAAATGCATTACATTTTTAAATGGATGGAGTATAAAATAAAAAAATTATACCACACAATTTAAAAAATTTAATTAATTATTATAATTATGTCTAAAAATAAAAGATGTAGACTAAAATGTCCTTGTGTTAGTCAACATAAGCATACGTTAATTGTTTCTCATTAATATAAATTATGAGAGGTGATTTAAAAAATGTGTGATAAATACTTATTGGAACGGATGATTTTGATTATAAAAAAATATAAGTCAAAAGTGATAGTTTCTCTAACAATAAAAAATGAAAGGAGTATTTAATAAGAATAAAGTTAAAAAATTATTAAATTTTTAGATATAGTTAATAAATTTTAAAATTTTTCTTAACTCTGGTAAAATATGTTAATAAGTTATAGGACCAGAAGAGTATACTCTCTCTATCTCAAATTATAAGACACTTTTGAAAGAAGTTTGCTGTCCTAAAATATAAGTCACTTTGAAAAAATTAAAGTTTCATTAAATATACTTATTTGAATATTACCATTTCTCTCTATATCTAATACTAATTAGGTGTGAATTTGAAGGTATTAAATGAATGATAGTTTTAAAAATTTATATTTTTATTTAAAAAATAAAGTTATTAAGTATACTTAATAAGAGTTATTGATATGTAAAATTTTATTTAAAAATATTTTATAATTTAAAATGGGGGGAATATCTTGTAGCCATTCAATATGCTGAATCACTGATTTGGCCAACGGAGTGAAGAATTGATTTTTGACCTTGAAGTGAAGAATTGACATTGAAACTTTCAAATTATTGGTTCAGCTATGAAGGAGTTCTCGGTATTCCGCAAAAACTTGAAGAAGCCACGCTAAGTGCGCGGGGGCTGCGTCAGGACCTAAATTTAAAAGGTGTGAAATAATTTAATAAAAAACTAATTTTTTTAAAAAATAATAATTATGCCAAAATTAAAATTATAATAATATAAATAGTTTTATCATCATTTTTTATTTAAAAAAATTATATTAAATATATTAATATGATCTTATATTATAAATATGCTCTTCATATTTTATCTAAATCACTAAAATATTATATAATTAATAAGTTTTTGAGTCTAAATATTTTTTATTTAATTAAGAGGGTACAAAATATTAAGAGTATGGGGTGTAAAGTTATAAATTTTTACATATCCCACTTATAATTTTTATCCAAAGTGACCCAATGTGGCTCGTGATTGTGGATGTGTATATACTATGCAAAAACTTATCTTTTTTATTATAAAAAATTTCTAACTAGCTTATTAAAATAAAGAAAGCTGATTAAGTCATGAAATTTAGCTAAAAACAATAAATTTTTAATTTTACCCACATTTCAGTGAAAAAAATTAAATTTACATTACATTTTCTTTCATAATTAAAGAATTTAAATAGGAAATCCAGTATTATATATTAAGCATTATCAGTGTGTCTTCTAATAAGGACATAAGAAAATACCCAATTACTCGTATTCACCCTCTTTTATTGTGCTGGTATTTATTTTTTAATATTATTGCACATAAATAAAAAATACAAGAAATATGTATAAATATGACATGTTTTACAAAATTTATCCTTTATTTAATAACTCTAAAAACATTGTAACAACAAAAAAAATTATGATTGTTCCAATGATAAAAAAAGAAAAGTATTATCGAAAATTACCGTGAAGTTTTGAAAAGACTTGTAATATAAACCATATTTTTCCCTAAAATAACAAAATATACAGTGCAACGGAGGGAGATTCGCCAATCAGATATAATGGGAAACATATAAATAAGCTACAAATGATAAGTAGTACTGTAGTAGCTTTTTCCCCCTTTCCTTATGATCAAAATCTGACTCGGCAATAATCATAAATACTCCTTTCATTTAAAAATATAAAATATTTTTTAAAAAATTAAATGTATAAAAATATAAAATATTTTAAATTTTTCAAAATATAATTATTATTTTTTTTTTCAAAAATATCAATATTAATAATGACTTTATATTTATTGTAGGATATTTAATAAGGATAAATATAAAAAAAAAGGATTAATTTAAAAGTAAATAACTACTTTATTAAAAATAAAATTCAGTTAAAAATAATTTATACTTCTAGAGAAACGGAGTATATTGCATGTGACAGTTGCGATAAATAAAACAAGCATGTAATTGTAATCTTAGAACTAGATCCAACATGATACGGATAATTGCAGAAGAAGCATAGCAGCAACAAAGTCATTTTATATTTATTGCCACGAGAGTAATTATTTTTTTTGGAAAATGAACTGCATGGCCCCAATAATTTTAAATAAGTTGTAGTAGAGTCCCAAAATCTTAGCTTGATACAAGTTAGCCCTTGTAATTTTTATCTAGGGAGTCTTGAATTTTAATTCAGTACAATTCCTATAATTTTAAGGATATAAAACATTAGTCTTTAAGTTTCAAGGAATGACTTTATTCCTTATAATGCTATTTTATGAAATACAATGACCAACATTTTAAATGGTTAACAAACTATAAAAATCGGGTTACACCAGATCAAAATTTAAAAACTAATTTTTAATCGAATCAAAATTATAAGCATTGAGTCAAAGATCAATAACTAAGTTTTAACTGAATCAAAGTTCAAGACTAGATTTTAACTAAGCCAAAGCTATAGTATCAAACGATTAATTTTTTTAGCTTCGTCAAAAGTTGCCTCTCGTTACTTAATCATAGAAAAGTTCATTGAATAAGAGTATGACACTCGAGCAACTGATAAATTCCCAATAGATGGATCACCCTTTCACAAAATGACTAAATGAGTAAATTCTTAATTACCCTCTTGAATAGAGAAGAAGCCAAAAAAAATCAGTACAAGGAAAATAATCAGCTAGGTAAAATGTCTGAACATGAGATTCAGATTTTCAATACATTATTCTCAGAACTAGTGCCAGATAGCATATGCAACACAATAGAGAAGTTATTCAAATTCACGCCATCGTTCTATCTAAACTCATGTTTTGTTGTCAATTAAAGGGACACAACTTTAAAATGAGAGAAGCATTCTATGGCAGGAAACTAACAATCTAATTATACATTTAGTCAACAGAAATTAAATACAAAACAAAACATGAACAAGATAAAGGCCATTTACGGGGACCTAAAAAAAAAAAAAAAGGAAGTAAAAAAAGGAGCATCATAATTCCTACCTCAGCCACAGGCTTCTATCATGACAGACCCGATTCTTGTCAATGTAATTTGAATATTATGACTGCACAGCTTTATTTTGTTTGATACATGACGGTGCCTTGAACTCCTGACATTTCCACATTGATGTAGCTTCAATCGGGATCACTCTCTCTGTGGTTGATTCAACTTGAAACAAAGGTATATTAACAAGGCCATTTGCGTCTGCATTGATATCAGTCAACGAAGAGCTTCCAGCCCTTCTCTCTTCCTTTGGCTGTGCCTTATCTTTAGATGTGCAAATGCTCAAGGGTAACTTCTTAAGCTTCACCCTTCCCCTTTTCTTACCTATGGGAGACAAATCTTCAGAGATTTTCTCTTTTGACTGGCTTGACTCTGCTTCCCCGTTATATATCTCCATTTGACTGTATTTATCATATCTACCTCCCTTCTTATCTTCCTTGCTTGAGCATGCCTCTTGGATGGAAACTTCATAGCCATTTTTGCCTCCTACTGCATGGCCATTGTTCAAAGATAAGCAATCTTGTCCTACTGCCATACCGGCATCAGAGACTTCGGTTATTTCAAAGCTTGAAGAGCTTTTAGGCTTCTTGTGCTTGTTCCCCTTTGAGTCTGAATTTGGAGAATTTTTTGAGATTCTAGGAGAGCTGTTCATGGCTCGGTGTAACTTACGGGCTAACTCTTCATCTTTCCTACAACTTTCGACCGGTTGGTTTTTTCTGTACAACAGCTGAACCGGTAAGTGCTTCTTTAGCTTGTTCCTTTTCAAATTTCTTTCCTTGGAAATTGCCTCTTCAGAAAAAGATGCAACCAAATCTAATGCACTCTTGGCTGCAGCAACAGCCTTTGCTGCTCTTGCAGCTTTTTCTTCGGCAGCAGCTCTTGCAGCTTCTGCGGCCTTAGTAGCAGCTTCAGCTGCTGATTTTGAGGCCTCAGCAATCTCCTCATGGGTGAGGTTAGGGTTATTTGAATGAGAATTCAATAAATGCTTAAGGCGAGCTTCAAATTCACTTGAACAAGAAGATGAAGAAGGAGAAGCAACCTCAGAAGCCCTAACACATGAAGAAGCAGCCAGAGATGGAGAAGCAGCAGCGTCACCATCACAATTCTGCTTCTTCAATCCAGCAAGAAGGCGCTTCCGAGGAGGCAAAAGAACATCACCATCCAAGTGATTTACATCGCATCCGTTGTCCATGCTACTCCAAAACTCAGAGATAACAAATAAATCTTCAAATTAATTTAATCACTGCTCCATTGGCATTCTATCAGCACCTCAATTATCACACCTTTCACGATCTAATAATTCACATACCCAACTCCACGTCGGTGATGAATGAAGATTTTGAAAAGGAAAAAAAAAAAAAAAAAGAAGCCCACAAGGTCCTTTACAAACCCTGGACAAAATCAAGACCAATTCGCGCACTGGTCACGGTAATTTGTTGGATTGCTGCGAACCACCTTGCGAAGATGTTGGACTCGTCTCAACCCTGGCTACCTTAAAAAAGAGAATAAAAATAACAGGATCAACTCAACCCAATCCGAAACAAATGATTTGCGTTAGTTCATACATTAAAAAAAGAAGAAAAACAGCAAAACACATCAATTGTCCATCCTCATCTATCCCCAGTATTCTTGGCATCCAGACAAAGCGTCATGGATGCATAATTCAGCAGCGGAGTCAAAGATCAAAGACATACAGAAATTTGATTCAGACATCTAAACACCAAACTCATGCAGACAAGAATAGCATAACCTCGATTCCAGAAACAAAATCTAGCAATCAAAGAAGCAGAGAATCAGAATTAATCAGAACCCACACTTGGGGAATCCCGATCGCACGGAATTGCACAAATCAATGAAAATTGAAACGCGGTTCAACGAAATTTCGCAACAAGAATCAGTGCCATTGACAAGGGAGAGGGTCCACAAGTACCTGATCTTGATGAGTAGTAAAGGGAAGATAGAGGGATAAACGGCGAGCTATAATTAGGGTTTTTCAGAGAGAAAAGGGTTGTGCGTGGGGAAGAAAACCCAGGGCAACAAGAAAACCAAAGATCTTTCTGTTTTATATATATATAATTGCATAGTGTGAGATAATTTCGATTGGTTCTGGTTCTAGAACGGTAATAAGAGCCCCCAAAGACGCAGTTCCACAAACAGACCAGTTACTGCTGTTCATTTCTGTCTGAGTAAAACTCTTTTTTCCCTGATCAAAACCTTTCCATGTTGAAAACCTTTCCATGTTGGTTTAATTTTAAAACAATTAACATTTACAATCGTACTCGTATGAATATGATGCCCCCAATTATATCATTCATTCCATTCATGTGTTTATACCAAGGCACATAAAATCGGATCATGGCATTGAGTCACGGATTAGTGGTTCAATCGGAGTTGAACCGGCGGCAAACCGGTCATGATTAAAATAATACAATTTAAATAAAAAGACATTAATTATAAAAACATTCAACCAAATCCAACCACTCAAAAGTCTAATAATAATAAAATACTATATTTTTGAACTTAGCATGCTCTGCCTCTAATTTTTCATTTTTTGACTTCAATTTCACTTTTTTTTGTTATCTTATTTCCAAATTCAGAGCTTTAAAAAATTAAAAATAAAATAAAAATAAAAAACGACATCATTTTAGGGGCAAAAGTTTAAAAAAATAATAACCCGATTAACCCGGTCAACCCACAGGGTTATCCGGGTTACACCGGTTCACTCTCTCACCGGTTAAGGATAAACCCAAACTGGACAAGGGACCAGGTCACCAGTTTTCGGGTTGACCCGGTCGGTTCGGTCCGGTTTTTAATACCATGTGTTTATACATAAAAGAGAACAACAACATACATACATCCATACATACATACATACATACATACATACATACATACATACATATATAACACCACATGAATATGAACTTTCATAATGTTAATTTTCTTCATAATTAAATTTTTATGTAAAGAAAAGTCAAATCACTTGGACAGCAAATAGTAGTCCAGATATTAAGGCTTTTACATTTAATCTATAAGATGGTGGGTTCAAATTCTATTGCCAACACAAAAATCTATTGGTGAACAAAAGTATAACCCATTTGGTATAGTGGAAATGATTTTAATGAAAATAGATATATAAATATGTAAGTAAAAATGAGAATTAACAACATGTTTTTTTATATGCTTAGCCTTATATAATTTTTAATTAAATTAGACATATAGTTCTTTTTATAAATTATTTATTCTATAATAAATTCTTGTTATTAATTTCATTAAGACATTACAATCCACTTGTTATAATTTGATTGGATATAAGAATATAAGACCAAGTATATAAATCTTACCCATTTTTTATTTAAAATGTATTTTAAATGTGTTAGGGGACCAAAATACCCTTGCTCCAGAAAAAAAAAAAACTACGATTGCATAACACCTACCGCCATTGACGGCACTTACCCCACCAACAATGACAATAACAACAATCATCAAGACTCGAGGGCAAAGTAAAATAAGAGAAAAGGCACCTTGGTTGGAGATCTACAAATTTACAAAATGTAAGATCTCAAAAGAGGAGGAAGAGTTGAAGAAGAATAGAGCGAACAAAAAAAGAGTCACCTTTAAGTTTTAGTTATAGATAAACGTCATTGCTATCTATGGCCAATGAACTTGGTCTATATTCTCATCGATGAACTTCTCAGTGGCGATAGCTCTTCTTTTTCATAGTAATGTTGATAGCAGGTTCATCTATAATGTCCTTTACCAAAATCAATGTACATAAGGTTCACTACACTTTGTCCATATTTAATTTAAAATGATTCTGACATGGAAATTATTTTATTTAAAATCCAAGGTTATTGTCACCGAAATAGGAAGAGTCATCGTCAATTGTTGCGATTAATAAAGGTTGCTGACGATAGTTGTCTCATAGCCAAGGTCGTTGTTGCTAAGTGTTAGAGGTCTATGGCGCTGGTTGCTAGAGGTTGTTAGTGTTGAGAATGTTGTCGGCTCTTATTGCTATGTGCTAAGAAGTTTTGCGTGAAGGTTCAGTTGAGACAGAGGAAGGGGTAAAAATGAAAAAAAGAAAGATAGGATTTGAAATTTTATAATAAAAGCCAATTCCACTAATTTTAATAACTTTCCCAATTCTATCATACCAAACAAACATTTCTCTTAATTCTATTTTTATATTCATTTCCATACCATCAATTTCCATCATACTAAACTGGTTGGCATTTTTAACTAAACTATACTCCTTAATAAGGTTAGTTAATTGTTTTTAAATAGATACCATCTTTCAATGTTTGTTCTTATTTAATAGGATGTCTCACTTAAGAGTGAAAAATTAATTGATTTATTTATCAATAGTATTTTTGAAAAAAAAACTCTTTAATTACATATTAGAAAACTAAAAAGTAATGTTTTTTAAAGAAAAAATATCATTCAAGGACCATGGAAGCAATTTAATATCAAATAAAGACCAAAAGATTCTAAAATATCACTACAAGATTAGGCGATTGATTTAAAAATAATTTTAAAAAGGAAAAGATTATGACACCCCTGCCTTTTCTTTTTTAAAACTGCTCAACTAATGAATAGTTTCTTGTGAAATATGAATAGATACTTGTTAATTCATGGATAACTACTTTGTTGAAATATGATAAACATTTGTTCCTTTTCACAACTAAGTTCTTTTAAATTTTTAAACTTGTTAATTAGTGAATAATTTCTTATTAAATGTGAATGGATACTTATTAACTAGAGAATGGTTACTTGTTGAAACATGATATATACGTCTTTAGTTGTCCATTCTCACAATTTAAATTTTTAAACTTATCAATTAGCGAATAACTTTTTATTAAATGTAAATGGCTATTTACGAAAACATGATCTACACTTGTCCTTTCTCACAACTAAATCCTTTCACATTATTAAACTTGTCAATTAGAGAATGATTTATTGCTATGAAAATGGAATTTGTTAATTAATGAATGATTATTTGTTGAAACGTAATTTATAATTATTTATTCTCACAACTAATTTTTTTTATATTTTTAAATTTGTTAATTAGTAAATGACTTTTTGTTAAATGTGAATGGATACTTGTTAATTCATAGATAAATACTTGTTCATTAAAAAAAAAAGTGTAACATCCTAGTTTTATTTAGAAATTTAATTAAAAAAATTACAAGGCTTAATTGAGAACTAAAATGTGTTTTGAGAAAATCAAAGTTAATGAATTTTGGCTCTCTTTTTATGCGGAGAAAGGCTCAATATTGAAGCCCGCAATGAATCTCACTAAATAAAGCAAAGAGAGATCATATTAAGTCATAAGAAAGAGAGGCTATATTCAAGATTGAGCTACAACCATTCGAGAGAGAAGAAAAGAGAAAACTACTTTTTGCATTTTCACAAGGTAGTCTTGATAAATCAGCATTTGCAAATTCTTTAACCATTAGATCGTGACAAAATTTGGCTAGAAGTTTTATAACATCTAACTCATCATTTTCAATGGTTAGATAGTTGATTTGTTGCTTGATGTGAGAGTTATTTACTTAATCATTCATAGCTATTTTGCATCTTCTCAAGGCAGTCTCAAAAAATTGGTATGTCTGAACTCGTTAACCATTGGATCAGGCTTACATTTAGCCAAAACATTTATAACATTTAAATAATTATTTTCAATGATTGGATCATTGATTTGTTATTTGATGTGAGAGTTATTCACTTTGTTATTTGTAATTATTTTTGTATATTCAAAGGGCAGTCTCTATAAATTGTTTTTTTCAAATTCATTAACCATTGAATTAGGTTGAAATTTGGCCAACTAGTTCATAGTACCCAACTCATCATTTTTAATAGTTGGATCATTGATTCATTTCCTAATGCGAGAGTTATTCTCTTTGTTTTTCGTAGCTATTTTCATATCTTCAAAGGGCAATCTTAGAAAATTATCGTTTGTGAATTATTTAATTGTTGGATTAGGTTGAAATTCGCTTCAACATCCAACTCATCATTTTTAATTGTTAGATTGTTGATTCATTGTTTAATGTGAGAGTTATTCATTTCATTATTAGTCATACGAGATTTGCCTAAGTTAATGAGATTAACTAATTCAACCTTAAGATTAGCATTAGGTTAGTGTTAGGTACTGTAATTAGTTATAATTAATATGTGTAACTGTTACTTAGCATAATTAAGTTGTGTAGATCATGTTGTGGATATCATAGGTGATCACTTTTGTGTTTAAGGAGCCTTACTATCAAAGAGTAAAGGTAACCGTTTCTTGATATTATATTACATGTTCTGTGATTAATTATGTGAATTTTGAATCATGAAATACATGTGTTGAGAACCCATATCTTAGATTAAACTTTATTTTGAGAAAATGTATTGTCAAGTGGGATATTACCTATTTTATAAGAAAGTATTTAGAGTAAAAATGGTATTATGAAGCATGAGTTTTAATGTGTTATGAATTTATGTGTATTAAAACTATTCTTAATTGCATGACATGTTGGTGTATGGTTGGAAGTCATGTATTGAATAAATGTTATCACATGGCCCATCTGGGACAATAGGTGACACGTGTGGCTTGGATTAATATACCTTTAGCCAAGTGAACTAGATTGCCAAGCACGGTGTATAAAGGAAATAAGGAGTTGTCATGCCATATATGTGTATTTGCAAAAATTGAATATATTTGTTTTTAAAATATGCTTTGTTCCTACTTAGCAATTCACATTTTTGGTTATTTTACATTCTTTATTTTATCTAAAATTTGGTTACTGGAACCTTTATGTTTCATTTCCTATAATTAACATTTTTACTAGAAGGGGCCCATGTAAAGGATCATCGAGAGAGTGAATTGGTGTATGTTGACATCTATCAACCTACTTCGCATCTTTTTAGTAGAACCAATGTATATTTGTCAATTATGATGAATATATAGATGTTATAATTTGTTTTACTTTGCATGTGACAGCCATGAGACTCTTGTCTTTCCCTTATGCTCTTAAATTAATTTTTGAAACATTATGTTATGATTATAGATGATTATAAATTTAGAATTTTTATTATAATTATATTAGGTGACTATAATT